CCTGCCGCCGGCTATATAATCAGCCGGCGCACACGATCTAGAATCAATCATCGCCTGATCGCAGACCAGCTCACACCCGCACTGGTTCACTCTGCCCGCTCGAATGTTGAGATTGGAGTAAGACCAATCGTGTGTTTATCAAAACAACTATGCTGAAATTCATAACATTCGGTATACAGTTTGCTTTTCTAGGTGTGGTCGACGATGGACACAAAATGAAATTTTGTAGGAGTTCATATGATATAAGAAAGGACCCTAAATGTGAAAAATGTAACAGATATGGACACAAAACTGAAGCATGCAAAGGGACTGGCGCAAAAGGGGCCAAAAAGTAGTGGTGTTCAACTTGTAGAATGAATAATCACACCAACGCAACCTGCAGAAAAACAGAAAAATTAAGGCAAGGATCACCGAACAATGATGGGGATTCAACAGTTTGTTTTTACACTGCTAATGAGAAGACAACTGAAGATTTTGTCGTTGACAGTGGCAGTTCCTCACACCTCGTCAAGTCTTTACAGCTGTTAACAGACACTCAAGATATATATTCTGAAATCGCAGTAGCAAATGAAGGAGGAAAAATGGTTGCTGTAAAATCAGGAAAGTTAGTCATAGGCGGTTCTACGCGGGTGCCAGTGGGTGCCGGGCACCCCCAAGCAAAAATTAAGTACGGTTACCGGAACCGTGTAAGAGGCTTTTGGTCAAGTAAAAACGTCGAGCAAAAATCGTGTTATGAAGCGCAAAAAATTGGCATTATTTATATTTCATGAATTTTTGAAATCTGCAGGTGTCCAGATTCGATGATTACGGCCAATGGGTGATGGGAGGAGGGGGGATCTCTTCGAAAGTTGACTTCTGGTAAATCATGAGGTTGATACGACTTGAAGAATGTTTCAAAAATCGCGCTCGCGAGGGCAGCAGTTTCCTCGCAATGAATTTGACCGAGTTGAACAGAAAGGAACCAAGCCACATCAGCTATTACGTGCCAAATTTAATAGGGCAATTTAATTTTTTACATGAAAACGGTAGTGCAGATTTTTGTGCAAATTTCAGTGAATTTTCTCCATAGTACGAAGCAAATGCCTCATCATTTTCACAGAAATCCGCACAAACGTTCTTCCATAAGAAAGTGAATTGCCCAGTTAATTTTGGCAACAGCTGATGTGGCTTGGATCCTTTCTGTTAAACTCGGTCCAATTTATCCTGACTCCGAACAGCTGATTAACAAGAATGTTTCAAAAATCGCGCACGCGAGGGCAGCAGTTTTCTCGCAATGAATTCATCCCGACTCCGGACAGCTGATCGACAAGAATTAACATTTTTTGTTTTGATTTGTTGATTTCCACATTTTACAAGTCACACTGCACATCGTGTGCCGCATTTTCGAGTTGAATTGTATTTTACTAGAGATTAAAAAAAAATGTTTCGCAAGGGATTGCTAGATAATTGGTTGTCGAAAGGAAAAATATTCAAAAAAAGTTGTGAAAGTGACATTGGGACTGGTGACGGCTCGCAATCTCAGAAAATTACTTTGGATTCAACATCATCACAACCATGTTCTGAGTCTTCTGGATCTGGTAAGTAAGGTTGCATCATTTTATTAATCTCGCCGTAGTAATTTTCTCCCTGGTTAAAATTCTGTGTCATGGGTAGTAAATTACTCGACGGCCACAGTACTCACATTGCGGAATTTGGTAAATCTAGCTGCGCAAAGTAAAAAATTCGATGTCGTAAGTCGTAAATTGTGACTTATGGAGGTGCAAATGGATACTTTGATAGATACTGAGGTAATAAATATCTGTGACGGATAATCTGTCCTCACTATCAACTATTTAGTAGATATTTTACTGATAACATGTTATGTACAGAAAAGATCAACACACTCATTCAGCGCATCCTTAGATCACGCTCATTATTTAAATCGTTTTTCAAGTATTTTACGATAAAAAAATGTGGTACTGGTACTTGAGGTTACAGCATGACAGAAGTTTCCAAAAGTAGCTAATACGGTTGCGTTCCGCTTTTTCACATTTTTCAATTTTAATGGGGTGTTTTTGACGCTTCCGCAAAGCATGCACATTTTGCATTTTCGAAGACCGCAACTTCTGAGATGCGCCGAGTGGTGGCATGAAACCTATGTGGACTTAAGGTTTGCCTTAAATAATCCGGCCAAAGTAACTCCTTAGAGCCTATTAGCACTGAAATGTATGGAAAAGTAACGCGCTCCCCGCTTTTTTGGCCGCCATCTTAGATTTAGGAAAACGAAAAAATAATCTCGAAAACATTTTGCTTGACGAAAAAAACGCCAGACATGCATTTAAAACCTAATATGGATAGGTATTGTTCCATGTTGTCCTTTACGTAAGATGTTTTCCTTTTTTTATCGGGGTTTTAAATCTTTCCTCGTTTTTTGCAGATGAACTTAGGGACTGTCCTGGTGATATTCAATCTCATCCTGATGATCCATCTGAGGGGTTGCCTAAGGCAAACGATGAAAGAGCTGCACGAATGCGCCGTGGACCATACCAACCCTTTTTCTCTACGTACCCGATGAAAACTGTAGGACAAGGTAAAAATTCTAGAAGTAGATCTTTCAACGCGAAGTGGTACGAGACCCATGCCTGGCTGGAATACAGTAAAGTGAATGATGCGGCTTATTGCTTCCCGTGCCGTATTTTTGTCGCAAGAGAAAGCACAACTGGACGGAGTTAAACAGAAAGGAACCAAGCCACATCGGGATCGAACCGAGAAAAAGAGGTTTAAAGTTTGGCTCCTGCATAAGACTCAATGTAAAAGATAAACTTAAATTTCAATTTCTGCAAAATTTGCTCCAACAAAAACTTTGAATTTTTTGCGATAGATAGTAGAGCAGTGGTTGAGTTCAAAACCACTCATAACTCAATTTTTTCCAAAATGTGGGTTGGTTCCATTCTGCTTAACTCAGTCCAACTGGAGGTAAGAAAGAAGATGCGTTCATTTCCACGGGATTTTCTGCCTGGCAAAAAGCCTCGGAGCGTTTTAGTCGCCATGAGACTAGTTCCTCGCACCAATCTAGCATGGACAGTTGGGATAATTTCAAGAAAGAGACACCCAGCGTTGCCTCACAACTGGATGAAGGGCACGCGCTGCAGCAAAGTGAGAAAGAAAAGGCGAGACTTCGAAACAGAGAGTATATGACACGATTAATAGATCTTATCCGCACGTTGGCTAAAAGTGGTAGACCTCTTCGGGGCCACGACGAGAAGAAGGAAAGTGATGACAAAGGATTATTTTTAGAAATTTTTGCTCTAATGTGCAGGTATGATCCATTTCTACAATCGTACATAGAATCTGCTCCTAAAAACTGCTCCTACCTTAGCAAAGGAATCCAAAATGATTTATTGGAAGCTCTTAACAATGTTATGCTTAGGAAAATAAGTGCTGATGTGACCGGTAAACCCGTCTCACTCATAGCCGACGAAACATCTGACGTGAAACATCACGAACAAATGAGTATTGTACTACGCTACATTCCCGATGGAGGTATCCTACCCATAGAAACGTTTGTCGGGTTGTATAAGCTAGAGAAAACGGACGCAGAATCAATTTTCAAAGAACTTGAAACTGTTGTAAGCTCCCTACGCATTGACTGGAAAGATGTCACTGCCGTTTGTTTTGACGGAGCATCAGCAATGTCCGGGGAGTTTTCAGGTGTCCAAGCACGATGCAAAGAGAAGAACCCATCCATTATGTACGTGCATTGTTACGGGCATTGTCTGAACTTAGCCCTAGTTGCTGCGTGCGTGTCACACAAAGACAATCCAATAATTTTTGATTTTTTTGGAATTACTAGAGGGCTCCGCCCCCTGGCCGCTCCGCGGCCCAACCCCCTCGTATATTCTGTCAATTCGTTATGAAAATATCACTTAATTTTTTTTAATTTACATTATTCTCGTAAATTGTATTAATATTAATACTGCTGAAGTTCTGTTAAGTGCTTATTCATTCAAAAGATCATCTTCAATTTAGCTAAAAACTTACTTCAATTAAGGTTAGAGTTTTAAAAAAAGGTGAATAATCAGTTTGAAACGGTTTATATGGGATAAAATAAAATGGATGGAAAGCAAATAGGATAGAATATAATATAAGAGTGGCGGTATATATAAGAGTGGCGGTGATGCGTAACAATTTTTGGATTTGCTGCTGCAATTCCCGAGTAGTA